GGGGGGGGGTGGTGGGGAGGGTTAGCCTGGTCCGTCTCGTACACACGTTAGCTCCCATTCCCGCAGGGTGATTATGTGACTCAACAGTTTTTTAAATATTGTGTTTTTAGCTTCAGCTCCTGATTTCTCCAAAAACCCCATTAAAAAAGCCTCAGTTGTTCAAGTTGGCGGGGATGTTGCCATCGAGTGCCTACCCCGGGCTTTCCCGAGGGCCACGGTCTCCTGGAGGAGAGGCGCGCAGGGCCTGGGGCCCAGCAGACGGTGAGTGAGTCTTTGTCCTTTTCACAGCCTGAAATATCTGGGAATATAATGTCTTGCGCATTTTTACAGTTTACAAGATCTTCCCAGGTCCCCTCCCTTACGATAACCTACAACTGCTTATCCAGGGAGACGGAAATTTCCCCATGGTCGTAAAAACAAAAGAACCTCACAGAGCGGGGACCTGCTGTGTAATTTGGCTGCAATGCATCCAGTGCGTGGGCCTGGAATAAAGTTTTAAAACTCCTCTAAGACCTTTTTATTTATCCGGGTGAGGAGTTTTCCCGGCCCGGCCCGCTGAGGAGTCAGGAAGGAGCACATCACACAAGGAGAGACACTGGTGCTCACACCTGCACTCCGGTTTTTAAATAGTCACACAGGTGTCCCCTCGTGACAGGTGAGCTCACCCTGCCGTCCTGAGCTGACCGACCCCATAGGTGCCAACGTCAGCTGCTCATGGGGAAGGCGGCACCTGCGCTCTGCTTGTGTCGCCCTAAAGGCTTTGTTGTGGTCGCAGGTAAAGTTAGAGTAGTGACAGGAAGGGAGGGAGGGAGGGAGGAACGGCTTTAGTTCTTGACCTTGGGAATACCTGCCTGCGAAAAAGTGCAGTTTTACTCTCAGTTATAAAACTTCTATATGTTCCCGTCTACTTTGAAATTTCATTGTCACTAACTCTTGCTCCCAATAAAGTGTAACTACCTGGAAATGGTTGAGAAGTCTGTAACGATGCCTATTCAAAGGAATCTTCCCGTATTGCCCACTTATAAAAAATGGCAGAGATATATATATATATATAGATATATATCAACAACTTCCTCCACTCTTAGCTGAGCCAGACAGCGAGCGCCACGCAGCCGGTGAGCGATGAGGCTGCCTGAGGCCGGGTCGCCCTTCCCGTGTGCAGGCTTTTCTCCTGGGCGGATAATGGAAAGACCGCTCAGCTCTTTATGTTCCGAAGGGCTGTTGTCACCGGATTTATCGGCGTTTCCAATGAAGCCACAGTTCTCAGTGTGGGTCACACGTATCTTATCGGCCCGTGCGCACCCCTGAAGTCGGACTATTTTAAGAGCTCTGCCTTTACGTGTCTACACGTGGCCGACTATCAGCATAGCCGAGTTTTCCTCCAAGGAAGACCAGGTAGACGGCAGATGGCAGATGGCGTCCCAGCCTCCGTAGGCTGCCCACCGGGGGGGGTGGTCATAGCACCTGCTGCATCTGTCCTGGAGCTGCCAGGCGTTGAGAGATGCACCTACACTGAAGGGAAGCCAAGGTGAGCTCCTGCTGGAGAGACAGGGGTGTTCTACAAGGAGCCCTGCCCTGGGAATCAGAAAACAGGGATTCTCTGGTCCCAGACCTGTCGCTGCTGAGTGGCCCGACCTTGGGAAAAACTCCTGGCCACTCGTTTCCTCTGAAGTCACTGTTTCCGGAATTTATTTAAGATGAAAACAACATTGGGAAGCATTCAACACCATCCCCAGGCAGTGACACCAGGACAGAAATTACATATTCGAAATCACTGGAGACATTAGCCTGGCAGGTGTAATTGCAGACTCTATCCTTGTTATAATTTTATACGTTGCACGGAATTGGCCCAGGTGACCAAGGGACCGAGCCAAATGCGGTGATTGCTGAGAACTGTCACACAGCTGATAGGATCCGGATGGGTAGAATCAGGGGTTACAGAGCCCTGGCTGCCGGAATGTGAGCACCCCCAGGATAGCGAGACCCCCCTTTAATTCACTGTGGTCGGCCCAGCGGATATTCAGTAAATATTTGCTGGGTTGCTAAGTCAGTGGACATCAGCGTTTACTTTGTCTTGTCTGGGTCCACCTGCCTTAAGAGATTTTAAAGTGAAACCCACGGCTCATTTAATAATTAATGGGCCCACGCTGTGTTCACTCATTCGGTCCGTAAATACTTAATGAGCACCTGCTATATCCCAACCGCTGTACGAGGGATACGTGTTGTGGCTACAACGTCAAGCCAGCCAACTGTGTGACAGTTTATTTCCTAAGAAACTGTTTTTTTCAAAGTTCATGGAGTCAGAGGATCTGAGTTCAAGTCCCAGCTCTACTCCTCGCTCGGTGAACAGCTTCCAGCAAGTCCTTTAACGTCACTGGTCCTCGGCTGAGTACCCTGAAAAATGGTGAAAACAGTGCTTGTCTCTCCCAGATGGTCGTGTGGGACTCAAAGGGCAGGGCAGTGGGGGAGGCGGGGTGGTCCGTGCCCACTCTGCTACCACTGGGCGCGTTTCCTGCTGTGGTCCAAGCTCTGCGGGAGCCCCAGGGCACGTCCAGGTGACACCGCCGAGGTCGGAGCATGCAGGTGACGCTGAGCTCTGCGAGGCGTCGGGGGCGACCGGGAATCAGTCCCACATCTAAGTTTGATTAACTGCTTTTTACCCCCTTGTGGATCCACTTAGCAAGTGACCTACAGAAACCAAAGGCCTGGATTTATCTCCTTCTGCCCAGTGACCACCGGCTACCTGTTCAGGGGTCCCCTGGCACATTCACCAGGAAGTGTCGCCCGGGGACAGACAGCTCAGATTTGTCCCTGACGGCGGCATTACCAAGTGGACAGACAAGCTCTGAACAATAATAGAGAGATGGAGTTTTTTTTCGTATTATTGAAAAAAACTATCATTGAATTCATAAGTACTCTACCACATTTCTCCCTAATTTCCCAAAATAAATAAACTGAAACTCAGCTACATGTCAGGCAAATGGTCACTCATAAAGAAAATAACCATTGTAAGCACTTCCCGTAAGCCGCGCAGCGTGCCAGGCACTTAAAATATTTCAGAACGTTTAAGGACACTTTTCTTCCTTCACATTTAGATGCATTTCTGAGAAATGAAGTTGTCACAGAGCATATGGTCATGTTTGTACCGTGTTTACCCCAAAGAGCTAAATACTAAGATATTTTGAAATCCCTGAGAATCAGCCCACTCAGCCAGAGAGATTCCGTCCCTTGGCCACAGGTCTCAGGAAGGGACCGTGGGCCACAGGCTTTAACAAGACCCTGGGCACAGGGAACCCGCGGCGCTAGCACCTCCCACTGGGCTCAGAGGGCAGTGTGGACAGGTACACAGGTGGCCCATTAGGTGGCATGGAATCCATCAGTGAGGCTTATTCAGTATTTTTTGCCCTGGAGACCAACACTTGGTGGGTCCCCTCCACTTCCATCCTCGTGGCACTCGGCACCCGAGGTCCCTCTGCGAGGCCCGTCCTCCGTGGGGGGCAGGGTGGGGCGGGGCGCTGAGAGGTGTCAGGAAGGGAGTGGAGGGGAGGCATAGACGAGGGAACAGGGTGTTCCCTGTGAGTTATTGAGCAAGCTGCTGATCGCTGTTCTCGTGGGCAGGAAGGCGCCCCCGCGAGGACCTAATTGGAAGCCCTCAGCAGGCCCACAGAGAGGGACCAGAATAAAATCAGTCTGTCTTCATCCTGCCCCTTGCTAAACAACCTGGACGGAGTTGTTCCTTTAGCTACAGAGCCCACTGCCCCCCACTGTCTCCCGGAGCCGCCCAGGCCCACCGGCCCCGTGGGCAGCATGGGGAGGGCCGGCAGCCTGGATGCCAGGGAGCCCGTCCGGCGATGCCCCCTTCCCGCCTGGCCCTGCTCTGTGTGTCTCAGTGTCTCTAAGTCACCGCCCTGCCTTTTTCATTTTCCTTCACCCCCAAGTGCTCAGTCTTTTTTTTTAAAATATGTCTTTATTGATTTCAGAGGGAGAGGGAGAGAGAGAGAGAAGCATCAACGATGAGAGAGAGTCATCGATCGGCTGCCCCCTGCGCGCCCCTCCACGGGCCGAGTGCTGGGTCTTAATAAAAGAGCCGGTCCACCCGCACCTCCTCCGGGCGCCCGCGGCCCGAACCACCCGCCCTCCCCAAGCAGAGCTCCCTAATAACAAGCAAATAAGCCTGATTGTACTTTGTTATCACCACCCCCTTAATGGAACAGTGCTCAGGACATCAGGTAGCGGGATATCAAGCAGGCAAATGAGCCATATGTCCCGTGTTTAAGGGAGGCTGACAGTCTGCATAATGCGGGCTCATCGCCACCTCCCTTGTGCGCCGCTGCTCCGTAATAAAATTTTAAACCGTCTGCACTTGGCTCCGCAGAGCCTTGTTAAGGTGAGGCCTTGCAAGGGAATACAAGCTGAAGGTGTCAGGAGAGATGTCAGCAGCCATCTGCCGCCCCGCGAAGATGTGACACAAGCCCAGATCCCGCGGGCGCCCGCCAGTCTCGCCCTCCCTCTCGCCATCCAGCCCCCGTCTCTGTCCGCTGCCCACTCTGGGCAGGGGTGCCGGCCCCGTACAGGGAGTGTGCAGAACCAGCTGCCTGCAGGCTCCGCCCGGGAAACGGGGCGCGCCCGCCCGCCCGCCACCCGGCTGCCCGCAGGTGCGTGGGGTTCCCCACACCCCGCTGCTGGGGTTAGGCCATTGCTGTAGCTCCCTGGTTACAATGCTGAGCGACGGACAGTGACATCCCGCGGCTTTCAACCCAGGACGGATATGGCAAAGCAGAACCCGCCCACACGGCGTGGTCCGATCCATTCTCGTGCCGCATCGCCCAAGGGAGGTGCCCGAGCTCCGCGCGGAGTCGCTTCGGTGCACAGACTGCCCGTAGGTTTCAGGTGTGAGCCCAGGAAGAAGCTGGTGGGAAAGCAGCTCCCAGAGCCAGGCCCGAGGCCGTCGGAGGGAGCAGGGCTGGGAATCCGCTTTTTATAAATTCTCTCTCTGCTCCCGAGAGAGGCTCAGGCGATAGAATCCCACCCCGGGAGACACTGGTTTGGCACCAACACATTACTTAAAAAGTAGAAACATCGGCGAATGGCTTTTCCTCCCAGAACCTGGCTTCCTGCTCTAAAAGTGCTCAGCTGCTCACCTCTCCCGCTGCTGAGGAGGCGCAAGTGCCACTTACAGTCTGAAGAGATGAGTGCGGGTCACCTTGGGAGGGCGTCCAACCACTTTCGTGCTGTTGGCGATTTCTGAGTGACATTTATAT